TATTTATTTATTTATTTAAGTAGGCTCTCCGCCCAAGGTGGGGCTCAAACTCACAACCCCAAGATCAAGTGTCGCATGCTCTTCTGACTGAACCAGGGAGGCACCCCCCCAACTTTAGTTCTTTAATAAGTTTTATTGAGCTACAATTCCTATACCATACAGTATACCTATTTAACATAGATAATTCAGTGGTTTTTAGTATATTTGGAGTTGTGTGACTGTCACCATCATCAATTTTAGAACATTTTTATCACCCCAGAAGAAACCCCGTACCTCTTAGCAGTCACTCCCCATTCCTCACAACACCCCAGCCCTAGGCCACCACTAATCTACTTCTGTCTCCACAGGTTTCCTATTCTGGCTAGACATTACATATAATGGAACCATACAATATATGGCCTTTTGTGTCTGGATTCTCTCACTTAGCATAATGTTTTCCATGTTGTAGCGTGTGTCGATACCTCATTCCTTTTATGGCTGAATAATATTCCATTGTATGGACAGACCTGTTTCTGTTTATCCATGCATCAGTTAATGAAAAGTAGTTTCCATTTCCTGACTATTACGAATAATACCACTGTGAACATGAATGTATAATTTTTATGTGGACACATATTTTCATTTCTCTTGGGAGGAGCCTTCACTCTTAATCACATACAATGAGATTCAATAACAACATGTCTATAAAGCCCCGGCATATACTGAATGTTCACACAGTGACAGCTATTTATAGGTTAGGTTACATAGTAAGGGATGCCCCAGTGTAGCTGGTAATGGAAGCCCCCGTTATCCTCACCCCAGCATTGAGTCCCCAGCTTGTCTGCCCACAGACACTGCAAAGGCATAAAAATGCTTGGACAAGGCCCCCTGCTCTTTGCAGGTCAAATCACACCTCGCTAGTGGCATAGCAGAGAGGAGCAGGGAAAGAATCAGGAGCCTTGGGCCATGTCTCTGCTAAGCTGCTAATTTGAATGTGACATCTGGGGCCTCAGTTTCCCTACTCAGAGAGTGGGCGTGGGGTAGCCGGTGGTTGTGGCTCTTATGTGTGGCTCACTTAGCTTCTTCCTGTTCCCCAGGTTGTGGTTCCGCCAATGATCCTGTGAGTGCTGGGGAGTCACTGCTGCCCCTAGGGGCCCCTGTCCTGGATTGGTCCACCTGCCTGCCGCCAGCATGGCGTCCGACACCCCCGAGTCCCTGATGGCCCTCTGCACCGACTTCTGCCTGCGCAACCTGGATGGCACATTGGGCTACCTGCTGGACAAGGAGACTCTGCGGCTGCATCCAGACATCTTCCTGCCCAGCGAGATCTGTGACCGGCTCGTCAATGAGTGAGCAGTGGGGGCGCTGGGGCACGGGCATGAGTCTTAGCATGAGCGCACGTGGAGGCTCTGGGACCATCGTGTGCACCATACGGGGATGTGGCTATGGATACACACGTGTGAGAGGGTGTGCACACACTTGGGTATCTGTGGGTGCAGGAGAACAAAGTTACATGTGTGCACGTTGGTATGTGTATGGAGGTGTGTGCATGTGAAGGAATGGGTGTATATACACACATGGGCTTCTGCAGCATGGGATATGTTTGAGTGTGTAACCGTAAGTGTGCATTACATCTATGAGAGGGTATAAAAACCTGCATATGGGGCACTTGGGTGGTTCAGATGGTTAAGCGTCTACCTTCGGCTCAGGTCAGGGTCCTGGGATCAAGCCCTGTATCGGGCTCCCTGCTCAGTAGCGAGTCTGCTTCGCCCTCTCCCTCTGCCCCTCCCCCACCGCTCATGCTCTCTCTCTCTCGCTCTGCTGTCTCTCTCAAATCAGTAAATAAAACCTTTAGGGCGCCTGGGTGGCTCAGTTGGTTAAGCGACTGCCTTCGGCTCAGGTCATGATCCTGGAGTCCCGGGATCGAGTCCCGCATCGGGCTCCCTGCTC